TGCGCTCCAGCCCCTCTGTCTGCCTCCTCGCCACATACCCGCACAGAGATGCCATTGGGAACGCATCATGCTGAAGAGACTGGTGTGCAAGAAAATCTGCGCTTGTAAGACGGACTCGCCTAACCCTTTTAGCGTTCTGGCGTGTGTTTTTTATTTTGTTTTGTGTCTGTGCTGAAGCTAAACGGGTGATGGTGTGAACCTGTTGCTCGCTTCCATATTGTTGAGTGTTAACCTGTTAGCGGTGTGTTTGCAGTGTCATTGTGATGAATGGGTTAGCTAGCAGTTTACAAGGACGGGGGCTCGGGTGGGTTAGTCACACTGTGGTCTAGTCGCTACGAGGAGTCTGGAGCCACAGGGTTGTGGGTTCAATTCATGCAAGGGTAGTAGTAGTAGTAGTAGTAGTAGTAGTAGTAGTAGTAGTAGTAGTAGTAGTAGTAGTAGTAGTAGTAGTAGTAGTAGTAGTAGTAGTAGTAGTAGTAGTAGTAGTAGTAGTAGTAGTAGTAGTAGTAGTAGTAGTAGTAGTAGTAGTAGTAGTAGTAGTAGTAGTAGTAGGTGTAGTAGTAGTAGTAGTAGTAGTAGTAGTAGTAGTAGTAGTAGTAGTTGTAGTAGTTGTAGTAGTAGTAGGTGTAGTAGGTGTAGTAGGTGTAGTAGGTAGTAGTAGTAGTAGTAGTAGTAGTAGTAGTAGTAGGTGTAGTAGTAGTAGTAGTAGGTGTATTAGGTGTAATAGTGGTAGTAATAGTAGTAATTAGTAGGCAGTAGTTTGTAGTAGTAGTTAGCAGTAGTTACTAGGCAGTGGTAGGTAGTAGTAGTAGTAGTAGTAGTAGGTGTAGTAGGTGTAATAGTAATAGTAGGTGTAGTAGTAGTAGTAGTAGTCGGTGTAATAGTGGTAGTAATATTAGTAGTTTGTAGTAGTTAGTAGTTTGTAGTAGTAGTTAGCAGTAGTTACTAGGCAGTGGTAGGTAGTAGTATTAGTAGTAGTAGTAGTAGGTGTAATAGTAATAGTAGGTGTAATAGTGGTAGTAATAGTAGTAGTAAGTAGGCATTAGTAGTTCGTAGTTTGTAGTAGTAGTTAGCAGTAGTTACTAGGCAGTGGTAGGTAGTAGTAGTAGTTACTATGTAGTAGTAGACAGTGGTAGTTAGTAGTAGGTGGTAGTTGTAGTAGTTAGTAGGTAGTACTAGTAGGTGGTAGTTGTAGTAGTACTTAGTAGGCAGTAGTAAATATTAGGAAGTAGTAGGTAGTAGTAGTAGGTAGTAGTTAGTAGTAGTAGGTAGTACTTAGTAATAGTAGGTAGTAGTAGTTAGTAGGTAGTCGTTGGTAGTAGTAGTTAGTAATAGTTACTAGGCAGTGGTATGTAGTAGTAGTAGTTATTAGGCAGTAGTAGTTAGTAGGAAGTAGTAGGTAATAGTAGGCAGTAGTAATTTGTTGTAGTAGGTAGTAATAGTTAGAAGACAGTGGTAGGTAGTAGTTAGTAGTAGTTAGGAGGTAGTAGTAAGTAGTAGTATGTCGTAGTTAGTAGTAATTGTAGGAGTAGATCTAGTAGTAGTAGATCAAGTAGTAGATCTAGTAGTAATAGTTATAGTTTTTTCATTTTTTTCTGGCGTGTGTTTTTTATTTTGTTTTGTGTCTGTGCTGAAGCTAAACGGGTGATGGTGTGAACCTGTTGCTCGCTTCCATATTGTTGAGTGTTAACCTGTTAGCGGTGTGTTTGCAGTGTCATTGTGATGAATGGGTTAGCTAGCAGTTTACAAGGACGGGGGCTCGGGTGGGTTAGTCACACTGTGGTCTAGTCGATACGAGGAGTCTGGAGCCACAGGGTTGTGGGTTCAATTCATGCAAGGGAAGAATAGAAGAAGAAGTAGTTGTAGTATTAGTAATAGTAGTAGTAGTAGTGGTAGTAGTGGTAGTGGTGGTGGTAGTAGTGGTGGTAGTAGTGGTGGTAGTAGTAGTGGTTGTAGTAGTAGTGGTGGTTGTAGTAGTAGTAGTGGTAGTAGTAGTAGTGGTGGTGGTGGTAGTAGTAGTAGTGGTGGTGGTAGTGGTGGTAGTAGTAGTAGTAGTGGTGGTAGTCATAGTAGTAGTTTGTAGGCAGTAGTTAGTTAGTAGGTAGTAGTTTGTAGTATTAGGTTGTAGTAGTTAGTAGGCAGTGGTAGGTAGTAGTAGTTAGAAGTTAGTAGTAGTAGGTAGTAGTGGTATTAGTTGTAGTAGGCAGTAGTTAGTAGTAGGGTGGTAGTAGTAGTTAGTAGGTAGTAGTTGTTGATGTAGTAGTTATAGATGTTAGTAGAAATCTTAGTAGTAGTAGGTAGTAGTAATTTGTAAAAGTTAGTAGGCAGTAGTAGTTATTAGGTAATAATTTGTAGTAGTAGGTAGTAGTAGCTAGTAGGTAGTAGTAATAGTAAGTGGTAGTAGTAGGTAGTACTACGTAGTAGTAGTAAGTAGTTAGTATTAGTTAGTAGGCAGTAGTAGTTAGTAGGTAATAATTAGTAGTAGTAGTTAGTAGGGAGTAGAAGTAGGTGGTAGTAGTGGTAGTAGTAATAGTTAGTAGGTAGTAGTTAGTAACTTAGTAGGCGGTAGTAGTTAGTAATAGTTAGTAGGTAGTAGTAGTTAGTAGGTAGTAGTAATAGTAAGTGGTAGTAGTAGGTAGTACTATGTAGTAGTAGTAAGTAGTTAGTATTAGTTAGTAGGCAGTAGTAGTTAGTAGGGAGTAGTTAGTAGGTAGTAGTTAGTAGGTAGTAGTAGTAGGTGGTAGTAGTGGTAATAGTAATAGTTAGTAGGTAGTAGTAGTTAGTAACTTAGTAGGCAGTAGTAGTTAGTAGGTAGTGGTAGTAGTAGTTAATATGCATTACTTAGTAGTAGTAGTAGGTAGTAGCAGTTAGTAAAAGTTAGTAGGCAGTAGTAGTTACTAGGTAATAATTAGTAGTAGTAGATAGTAGTAGTTAGTAGGTAGTAGTAATAGTAAATGGTAGTAGTAGGTAGTACTATGTAGTAGTAGTAAGTAGTAGTAGTTAGTATTAATTAGTAGGCAGTAGTAGTTAGTAGGCAGTAGTAGTTAATAGTCATTAGTAGTAGTTGCTGTAGTAGTTGTAGTTAGTAGTAATCACAGTAGTAGTTGATGTAGTAGTTGTAGTTTTTTCTGGAGTGTGTTTTTTATTTTGTTTTGTGTCTGTGCTGAAGCTAAACGGGTGATGATGTGAACCTGTTGCTCGCTTCCATATTGTTGAGTGTTAACCTGTTAGCGGTGTGTTTGCAGTGTCATTGTGATGAATGGGTTAGTTAGCAGTTTGAAAGGTAGAGGCTCGGGTGGTACATTTTCACATCTTTACTGTTTTGAGTAAAATGGGTGTTTTTCATTTTAAATTTGCAAACTTAGTGGAGTTAGTGGACTTTAGAATCACACCCATGATTTAGCCTTTTTTTTCCACTGAACTGTATTTAATCGATTTGAAATATATCGTGTTGAATCGAAAGTGTGCTGTATCGAAAAACGTATCGTATCGAGGTATGTATCGTATCGGCAACTTCTTAATGACACCCAGCCCTTCCGAGCAGTATCCAGTCTGCTAATCCCCTCTGTGCCCGGTGGTCACATGGGCAGGTGAAGGGAGCACATGTCTCGACCTCTGCCAAACCAGATTATAATCCAGAGTCCATAGATTAAAGATAAAACTGCTCCCGGCTCGTCGTGATGCACAGATGAGTCAAAGGCCGGACTGGAATGAGAGGGATGATGCATTTGGTCTCACAGTTGAGCCAACAGTCAGCTGGTTTATGAGGCTGTTTTAATGATTTATTGATTATTACCGTAAATTTTTGTCACGACGATAGGCTGTGTGTAGAATAGCTCCCAGCAGCTTCACTGTTACCCAGGGGTGTAGAGGACTAAACCAGAACTAAACCTGGACTGAGTGTATCGCCCGCGTAGGTTTAGTCTTGGTTTTGTCCTGGTGCACTTCTGGTTTGGTCCTGGTTTAGTCCTGGTTCAGTTCTGGTTCAGTTCTGGTTTAGTCCTGGTTTAGTTCTTCTGGTTTAGTCCTGGTTTAGTCCTGGTTCAGTTGTGGTTTAGTCCTGGTTCAGTTCTGGTTTAGTCCTGGTTTAGTCCTAGTTCAATTCTGGTTTAGTCCTGGTTCAGTTCTGGTTTAGTCCTGGTTCAGTTCTGGTTTAGTCCTGGTTTAGTTCTGGTTTAGACCTGGTTTAGTCCTAGTTTAGTCCTGGTTTAGTCCTGTTTCAGTTGTGGTTTAGTCCTGGTTCAGTTGTGGTGTAGTCCTGGTTTAGTCCTGTTTCAGTTGTGGTTTAGACCTGGTTTAGTCCTGGTTGAGTCCTGGTTTAGTCCTGGTTTAGTCCTGTTTCAGTCCTGTTTCAGTCCTGGTTTAGTCTTGGTTTAGTCCGGGTTCAGTTCTGGTTTAGTCCTGGTTTAGTCCTGGTTCAGTCCTGGTTTAGTCCAGGTTTAGTCCTAGTTCTGTTCTGGTTCAGTCCTGGTTTAGTCCTGGTTCAGTCTTGTTTTAATCCTGGTTCAGTCCGTTTTTAGACCTGGTTCAGTCCTGGTTTTAGTTTAGTTTCCACCACTGCTGTTAGCGTCACCACTTCCTGTCCAGTTTTATCTCTGTGAGGTTTTTGCTGAGTCGTGCCGAAATGAATAAATATTTAAAGATAAGGCAGGGGACGGGAAGCAGTAGATGGTTTTGGCCGACAGTGTGTTAAAAAGTACAAAAATAAAATAAAAACTTGAGCGGCGGACACTGCTGTGTTTAGAAAGAGAGATGTTTGTGTCTCAATGCTAATGCTAATGCTAACGCTAATGCTAATTTTGATTCATAATAAATATTACAACTCCACAAACTGAAGTAATCTACATTTAACAATAATCAGGTAGTCTTTATTTTAATTAATCTGAATTTTAATATGTTGTTTATTTTATGTTTTACGACACAGTAACACAACTAGTTTATTGACAATGTGCTTTTATTTTAACTAAACGTTCTTGTTTGTTTTGTCTTTTTGATTACAGATAAAAATTTTGAGGATGAAGACTCAGTGGATGGGGGCCGGTCCTCCTCCTCTTCGTCCTCCAAAGCGCCCCCTAGTGGTAGAAGGACTGTCATGAGCTCGGTGAGGAGGCCCAGCTCTGCCACAACAGCCAAAGCACCAGGTAAGAACAAATAAAGTAGTATGCAAACAAAAGAGAGAAAAAAAAGAACAACTCAAAATGTCTCATGTGTTTTACTGTTTCTACTGTTTCACAATAAAAAGAAATGAATAAAAAAGTAGTATGCATGCGTGGAATAGTTACGTTTTTACTTTTATAAAATTGTCCGGTTGTTGATATTTCTTGTTTAATGTTTTTAAAGGTAAAGAGGCGGCTGCAGGTGCTGTTGATGAAGAAGACTTTATTAAAGCCTTCGAGGATGTACCAGCCGTTCAGGTCGGTTACACACATATTGAAATAACAGGGAACGTTATAAGAATGAGACAAAATAGACAATGACAAATGACAAATGACAAAGGCTCAGTCAGGATATATTAAACAACAGCAAAACCTTTTAAATGTCCTCCCTATACAGAGCATGACTAGAACAAATACATTTTTTGATCATTACATTTCAGTTATAGTCTTCATATTCATTTAATAAAAGAGTTGTGTTTGGCCGTGACAGCAGCATGTTAAACACGCACTTACAGAGCGTTTAATAATTTTATTTTTTTATTAATTTTTTTCATTTTGTGCTTGTGTTTAAATAGTTGGTATAATTTTCAGTTCAGTTTTATTGTCTCTTTCTACAGGTCTAACTGCTCTCTATATTCACTCCTCTATCCCCTGTTCCCTCATATTAGCCCTGCTCTAATTAGAAAGTCAGGAGTTACCGTATTTTTCATACTATAAGGTGCACCAGACTGTAAGGCGCAGTATCAATAATGTTGAATTATTTAATCTATTTTCATACATAAGGTGCATTAAGCGAAATAAACGGACGACACTTGAGACTTGAGAATGATCCCTTAGCCCAGGCGTCCACGATCCATTGGCAGATTGTGGTGTAATTCGCCTCGCGTTGCCTCCCTGTCTTGGTGAATGTGTATTATAAATGTAAATGTGGGTGGATCATTTAATTATTATAATTTTTTTTTTTTTCTACGAGGCGGACTCAACTATATATTGAGTAATAATGTGTTTAATACGGCTTTGCGCACATTTGTTTAGGTTTTACAGAAACTAAACTTAAAACCACAAGGCTAATTTACATAAACTATAAGCGCTGAAAAAACAGCTCACTCCTTTTGTCCTGATGCGGTCAGCTTCTGTCAGACTCCGCGAGGCTCCTGACTATGGTAGCTGTAATGCTTCGACAATCCATCAAGTGGTGCAGCTTCGTAGTTTACCAAAGTCGTACTAAAACATTTTGACAGATTTTTGAGCGCCGTGTACCACATAAAATCAGTTTGAGGTCAGTAAACACAACCAGAATTAATACACAAGGTGCACCAGACTATAAGGCGCACTGTCGATTTTTGAGAAAATTAAAAGGATTTTAAGTGCGCCGTATAGTCTGAAAAATACTTTAGTTGGTTTCATAATAATTTAAGCTATTGCCCAGCCCTATGCTGATTTAAAGTCTGTAGAAATAGTAATTACAATATATGTCTTATATTCTTCTCCAGATTTTCTCCAACAGAGAGTTTGAAGACCAGCTGACCAAGATCCGAGAGGTTCTGTCAGATGATAAGCACGACTGGGAGCACAGGGTCGTCGCGGTAACTCCAGCCCTTCTTATACAAATCCTTTCACATTCACAGTCGTTTATCCTAATTAAATATGTTTCTGTATTATATTATATTTGTGTTCTTTTTTCCTTGTGTAGTTGAAGAAGGTGCGGTCTCTGATCCTGGCCGGGGCTCTTGACTATGAGGGCTTCTCACAGCAGCTCCGGCTCCTGGAGGCTCCGTTGAAACTGTCGGCGAAAGACCTGCGCTCTCAGGTGGTACGAGAGGCCTGCATCACTCTGGGGTGAGCAAGAACATTATAGAAAAATTAATTCGTTATTTCATTATTTATATTTGTATTTATTAAATGCTCTAGATGTTTTTAATTGTATCTTTGACTGATTTAAATACGTATTTTCTGTTTTTAAAATATCTATGCAGTAAGAAATATTAACTTTCAATCAAAAATAACCAAATATCATGATATCGTATCATCTAAGGTCTCAGAATAATATCGTGGATCATCACAATATATTGAATCACAAGACTTTTTGCTTAAATTAATAGTTATGGTGCAGCAAAAGCTAAAAAAACAGAGGGAACTACATAGACCATGATCCTTTGCTCCATTTCAGTGCAGATTACTTGAAGAAAAACTGTTCTAAACACTTTAAAATCTTACTTCTTTGGGTTAAATCTTGTCAAGGCAATTTCAGAGGGAAAAAAACTGTAAATATAAATAAATATTGTATCGTATCGAGTTGTAAATCGTGAAAATATTGCACCGAGAGTTTTGGATTCATACTTTTAGTGATCTTAATAATACTGCTATTATGTCTAGCCTAATTTTCTACACATTTTTGCGGTACTTTTATAATTTTTTCTTAGTTTTGAACTCATGATGTGACTATTTCTTCTGTTAACCGCAATAATTTTGACCCTATTAAGCCAAACACTGTTTCACAATTCATCCCATTCATTCCCAGTGGCTTTGAAGTCAACCAACACACACAATTAATTACAGATTAATGAGATTGTGTCAGAAATTTTACTAGCTGTCATAAATTGTCTACACACAGTTAGGCTAATGGAAATAAAAGTTCTTCAGGCAAAAAATGAGCTAGAAACATTTCCACTGTAAAATATTAATCCTTGAAATATTTAATTACATCCTGATGAGGCGGAACTGTGCACAAACATGTCCAAAGTGTTTTTTGGGGTTTTTAAAAATGTTTTTCTAAACTTTGTGTGCTTCCAGCCATCTGTCGTCAGTGCTGGGGAACAAGTTTGACCACGGGGCAGAGAGCGTGATGCCCACTCTGCTCAACCTGGTGCCCAACAGCGCCAAAGTCATGGCCACGTCCGGAATGGCTGCCATCAGACTCATCCTCAGGGTAATTATTGTTGTTTGTATGCAGGCCCGTCGACAGAAATTTGGGGGCCCTGGGCAAGAAGTCTCACATGGGCCCCCCTGTAATGTAAATTAAAACGAAGAGAGTTCAATTCTGGGCACCTAAAACCTTGGGGCCCGGGACAACAGACACTTCTTCCCTCTGTCTACTGCCCTGTTTGTTTGTTTGTTGCAACTATGTGTTGTGTAACTGCTGTCTCTTTGCCAGGACTCCCTTAAAAATTTAATATAAGAATTTTTATTATGTTTTTAAATAGATTTTTTTTCTGTCATAATAAAACAAAATATCTTCACACAATTTAAAATGCCACAGTGTAAAAAATAAATATAAAACTACAATTATGATATTATATAAATGAATACATGCATAGTTTTTTTTATCTGTATTGTGCAGTACTTTTGAAAGTGTTTTGTTTATGAAATTTTCTATATAAATAAAGTGGAGTGGATACTTAGATGAAACCAAATAGATATGTTTAAATAAATTCTTTTGACAAACTGTGGTCTATATTTAGGCCTGAGCTCCAGAAGCGGACGAAGGGCCTATTAGTATCGCAAAGCAATACTTCGAGTTTGTTAATATTTCTTGCATTTTTTTATTTTTTTTCAGCATACACATTACCCTCGTCTCATTCCCATCATCACCAGTAACTGCACCTCCAAATCAGTCGCTGTTAGAAGGTAAGAAAATACAACTTTCAGCCGGTATAGACCAATGTAACATTCAAATAATTTCCCTTGTGGATCAATAAAGTTTGTCTAAGTCTACTATGACATTATGATATCAATTTAAAGTGTATGTTTACATTGTCACACATGGTAAAACTGGGACTAAACCTGGACTAGGACAAAGCCAAACTGGGCTTAAACCAAGACTAAAACAGGACATAACGGGGACATGTGTGAATGCAATTATAGACTAGAAAAACAATGTAAACGCTTTATAAAAATGTAAGTTAAATATCTACATGCAACTGCCAAAAATTGCATATTGTACAGTGATTAGCTCTTCCATTTAATCACTAATAGGTCCTGGGTGTACTTTCTTCAAAATAGTTCTTGAATAATAATAATTAATCTTATTTTTTTAACCATAAATGTTAAATCATAGAATTGAGAGCTGCTTCTTATAATCTGCTCAAATTTATAACTTGTCTTTGTGATTTCTTTTCAGACGCTGTTATGAGTTCCTAGACCTTATGTTACAAGAATGGCACACAAACACACTAGAAAGGTAAGAAAAATACTTTACCAAAACACTGTCGTAGTGATCAACCATTAAAGGTCCGTTATGCTATTTTCTGATATATGTTATAATGATTCCTCATCAAAACATACCTGGAGTTGTGTTTTGTTTCATTCAGACATGTTTAACACAAAATTATCCTGCATATTTAAGATGACTTATTCTCTCAAACAAAAAAAAACACATGTCGTAATGCAGGATGTGCTCCACTGTGTTTTTAAACTCCATACTAAATAATATACTATATATTAAACAAAAAAATAAAAAGTAGTTGCTGACTTGAAAACTATATTTGGAGATGTAGACAGACTAATAATAAATGGTTACTCAAACATGTGTGTATGAAACAAAACACAACTCCAGGTCTGTTTTTGAGGAGGCAACAACATTATACCATGACTTAAAGCTCACAGGAGCCAATTTTGCGCAATATAGATCCTTTAACTACACACTAGATGCCCAGAACCCCTATATAATGTTGCCCTTTCGAGATGTATTGACATTTAAGTTATAGAATATTTAAGTTAGCTGTGAGAACTGGCTGGGTGAGTAGGTGATGATGCCCAGAAAATAAATTAATCTTAAAAAAAAAATCCTCATTATCGAATCGTCCAATCATGAACTGACCCAGCATCTCCATGACAACCACATATGAGGCTTTATATGGAGCAGGAGAGACACTGTGGGTAGTTTTAGTCTTTTCCCATAGAGAAAAGAGATAGGACCAGATGAGCTGATGATGTTCCCTTACTACCCCAGACATGTGGCCGTGCTGACAGAGACCATCAAGAAAGGAATCCATGACGCAGACTCTGAAGCTAGGTCCATCGCAAGGAAGTAAGTGTAATTTTTTATGCTCTAAAATACTGAAATACACAAAAAAATATGATATTACAAGGGTAGTTTGCAGAGTTTGACGGTTTGACAGCAACATTTGCCAATTAATTGCTGTAGATTTTCATTGTTTTCCTCATCTTGATGTTGTAAAAAATGTAATGTAAACTCTTAAAAAGCAGTATTTTTATTATATATATTTGATCCCTGTCAAGATTAATTTTGTAGGCTAGTGCCAGAAGTATGTTTATTTACTATTTATACACAAAACCATCACAACTACTGTAACTTTTGCGAAAACAGACCCTTTAAAATGTTTTTTTCAAGCCCTGCGTCGTAAATACAGTAGCATTGTCTTCAAGAGCAACACCACTTAAAAATATTAATACTCAAATATTTGTATCACGTATGGACCTGACCTGAAGTAATGTCCAAGTAAGATTAAAAACATATTTGATAAAAACACTTTTCAAGTATTACATAGAGCAACTCGTATGTAATATCTGATTTATGATTCAGCATTAATGTACAGGTGATCATCAGACAAATTATTAAATACATATCCTTGTTGTTTGGAAAAGTAGGGCTCCAAAAGTATAAAAAAAAGAATATCTTATCTAGGGATATAACAATAACCGAAAAATCGTGATATCGTATCGTCAAAGTTCTCATAATAATATCGTGGACCATCACAGTATATCGAATTACAAGACTCTTTGCTTAAATTAAGAGTTACGGTGCAGCAATAGCTAAAAAAAGACAGACAGACAAATGGTTCTAAGCACTTTTAAGTCTTAGTTCTTTGGATTAAGTCTTGTCCAGGCATTTTAAGAGGAAAAAGTTGCATATTAACCTCCATAAAACATTGCAATAAATATCGTACTGTGAGATGTATATCATGTAAACATTGTACGGAGAGATTTGGATATTGTTACATCCCTAATCGTGAGACACCCCACCATATTGTGAGCTTTCCCATGATATCACAATAAATATCGTACTGTGAGGTTCATACCATGATGATCTAATCTTATCTGAAAGTATGGTGTGTCAGTTTCAATAATGAGCATAGGTTTTGTAATAAAATGTTAGTGCTAAGTAAGAATTATTTTTGTCAGGCAGCTTTGTTTTATCTGCTTTTACATGTTTCAGCTTCTTCCAGTAGGTTTCTTCACCAAAATATTAATTAGAAATCTGAAAACTACTCTTAAAAGTACAATTTTGTTTCATTTAATTTAATTTAACTGTGCAAATGTGACAGAAGTTATACCCCACATTTGGATCATGGTAAAATCAAACTTAAATAATAAAATAAACAAGTAAATAGTTATCTAAAATAGTAGTTCAAATAATACGTTTTTGGTGTTGTTCCAGATGTTACTGGGGCTTTCATGGACACTACAGCCGAGAGGCAGAGCACCTGTTCCAGGCGTTGGAGTCGACGTATCAGAAGGCTCTGCAGTCCCACCTCAAGAGCTCAGACAGCATCGTGTCTCTGCCTCAGTCTGACCGCTCCTCCTCTTCCTCACAGGAGAGCCTCAAGTAAGAATCACAACGTTTCAAAATTAGTGCAATTACTCGATAAGAAAAAATATGTGCGAGGTAAGTTTAGTTAAAGCCACATTATGTAATGTTTAGCTAAAGAAATAGAATGAAATTTCCATGGAGAATCTTCGAAAATATGGACGTGCCACCTCCCAAAAGTTACATACTGTTTATCTCATTGTGTTAATTATTATTTAACGATTTTATGTTAATATGTGTTTAACTTATAAAACCAGCTCAAGTACATGTATTGGCATAACTGGAAATTGATTTTGTTATTTGATTTAAGTGTTTTCTTTCCTCTTTTCTGAATGGAGTTAATGTAGTTTTTAAGATTTCCACAATTTAGATGCCAAATCCAAAAAAGTAGTGAACAGATTAAGGAAAGTAGATTTATATTATTTTAAATATTGTATTTTGAATCTGACCCTTTAAAAAATAGATTAAATTGCAAATCTTTTACTTATTCAACACTGAGATAACCTAAAACTCACATAATTTGTACTTTTTTATTTTTGTGTGTGTTTCTTTTATCGACTTTTAGTTACCATCTCAGCTTTATCGTTTCCGTTGCAGTAAATGACCGTAAAAGCTGCTAATGCACGAGGCTTGTTGGATATAAAAGGATAAACATGCAGGATTATTGTGGTTTGGTGAGGCCACGTTTGCACAGATCCCATTAAGGAGCAGTGTTTAATGACTCAGACTCAATCAATCAGCTGCTCTCATCCAGGAAACATACCAAACATTACAACATACTTACACTACTATTAGTCTTGACTGGTGCATTGTTAAAGGTACTGTACTCATTTTTGCTCTATATAATAAAGTAAAATTTGTTTTGCCTGAGTATTGGATAGATAGACAGATATTTTACTGATCCTGAGGGAAATTATGAATTTTTATAGTAAAAAAAAAAAAGACCTCTATGTGCTTTCTGCATTTTAATCGTCCACAAAACAGGGAGTAAAGCTGGTTGTTGTTGTTGTTTTGCTGTTTTTGTTGGTAAAAAATCTGATCCTGTCCTTTTTATAGCTTTGACTGACTTTATCTTTTGTTGTTTTCTTTTCCAGTCGCCCACTTTCTGTGAAAAGTGTCATTGGAGGGAGCATGACCAGAAGTAAGTCACTTATTAGAATTCACTTTTCATTTTATTTTAGCGGTGTATATAGCAATACAATTAATAATAATAATAATAATAATAATAAAATAATAAATAATAATAATAATAATAATAAATCATAATAAATAATAATAATAATAATAAATAAATATAACCCCATATTTAAATACATATTTTTGTATATTGTGGGAAAATCTGTATTGTAGAAATGCTAGATTTTCTCTAAAATTATGGTCATGTAGGGCATATATTGACAAAAAAAAGGGAACTAAGTAGACACAAGAGTTTAGAATTCAATGTACTGTAAATATCTATTATAGTAGTGTAATAATAGTACAGTTTAGTATAGAATTTACTACTGTCATGTCCCTATTTAAATTGTCAATTAGGTAGTTACACTGTCCAGCCCAAAAAAAAGTCACCACCAACTAGAAAAGCACTCAGAGAGCGCAGACCTCCGCCAAGGACTACAGTCCCCCTCATATTAATTGTGTTTTCCATAAATATTTGTCTCGTATCTTTCAATTTGGAATATGAAAGAGGATCCCATTGTCCATCCCTGAGTCAAATTTCATGGGGTTTGGTCAATAATTAACCGAGATATTGAGAAACAAAATTTTTGGCCCCATTTACCACAATGTTAACTAAAATTTCAAAGTGATCCAGAATCCAGGATTTCTTCCAGATCACCCCCAAAATGAAATCAGTTCTTCCTTTTCACATTTCCAACAAATCCTGAAAATTTCATCAAAATCGGTCCATAACTTTTTGAGTTATGTTGCTAACAGACAAACAGACAAACAAACAAACAAACAAACAGACAAACGCCGGCAAAAACATAACCTCCTTGGCGGAGGTAATAAAAAAGTCACACACTCTAATATTTCTTTGGCCCGCCTTTAGCTTTGATTATGTACGCATTCACTGTGTCATTGTTTTGATAAGCTTCTGCAGTGTCACAAGATTTTTTTCCATCCATTGTTGATTACATTTTTCACCAAGATCTTGCATTGATGATGGTCGAGTCTGACCACTTCCTAAAGATTCTCAGTGGGGTTAAGGTCTGGACTCTGTGGTGGCCAATCCATGTGTGAAAATGTTGTCTCATCCCTGAACCACTCTTTCACAATTTGAGCTCGATGAATCCTGGCATTGTCATCTTGGAATATGCTCGTGCCACCAGGGAAGAAAAAAATCCACTGGTCATTCAGTATGTTCAGGTAGTCAGCTGACCTCATTCTTTGAGCATGATGGGTGAAGATGGGTCTGGCCACCTGTTTCCTTCTGGCAGACGCTTCAGGTCAATTCCAATTAGGACCAACAGACTCAGGGACAGCTTCTTCCTCAAAGCTGTCACCATACTTGAATAAAACAAATTAACAGTTCTCATTTTTATTAATTCTTGCACTTCGACGGAGCAGCTCTGAATTTCATTATGCTATTAAAATGACAATAAAAGCTTTCTCTTCTATTTCTCTTCTATTTCTTCCTCAAAGACGCTGGGTCCCTACTATCCTTACAGTTTTTAATAATATGATGGACAATAACCCAATAACCCAATTTTACTAGTTTCTGCAATCTCCTTAGATGGTTTCTCTGCTTGATGCATGCCAATGACTTGACCCTTCTTAAACAGACTAACATCTTTTTCACAGCCACAGGATGTGTCTTTTGACTTGGTTGTTTAAGAAATGAGAACTCATTGCACCAGTTGGGGTTACATAACTTGTTGCCAGCTGAAAGATAATTGCCTATGCAGTAATTATCTAACAGGAGGCTCATACTTATTTGCTTAGTTAAATCCAGGTGGCGACTTTTTTTTTTTTTTTTTTTGGACATGCAGTACAGTTCACCTGCTGCTAATTCCACCTTTCCTCACTAGATGGTGCTATTGCTCTGCTCTAACTGTCCTTCTTCTGTTTTCAGGTAAACTGGTGAGCTCGCGGGTGCCCTCTCAGTCCGGCTCGCTCCAGCGCTCCCGCAGTGACATCGACGTGAACGCAGCGACCACCGCCAAATCTCGCCTGACCACTGTCCCCGCCCCCTCGGCATTCAGCTCCGCCTCCGCTCTACCTCCGGGCTCCTACGCCTCTTTAGGTAATGCAGAGGAAAGACTTGAAACCTGTCCTGTAGCATTTGGAAGGGATAATAATTTAAAAAGTCAGCCAGAGATACATTTTTTTTGTTTTTTCCCACAAAAGGACACACCCATCCCCACTACCCACTGGCCGAATATACAAAAAAAAAAAAAAAATAAATAAAATAATAATAATAATAATAATAATAATAATAATAATAAATAATAAATAAATAAATAAATAATAAGGATTAAATGAATAAGAATGATAATAGTAATAGTAGTAGTAATAGATAAATTCAATTAATATATAATATACAAAAAAGAAAGACAGAGTTATTCCCTAAATTTAGCGACAATTGTTTTAATTCTGTTCGAAATGGAGGCAAGAAAGAAGATTATATTTATCTTTTTAGTCTTAGTTTGGACAGCAATAGTGTTTTCAGTAGGGATGTAACAATATCAAATCTCTCTGTACGATATTTTCACGATATGCATCTCACGGTATGATATTTATTGCGATATTTTGTGGAGGCTGACAAAACTGTGAATACACTACTTTTTTCTCTTAAAATGCCTTGACAAGATTTAATCTAAAGAACTAAGATTGATTTAAAAGTGCTTAGAACTGTTTTTCTTCATGTAGTCTGCAGCGAAACAGAGCAAAGGATCATGGTCTATGTAGTTCCGTCTATTTTTTTAAGCTATTGCTGCACCATAACTCTTTAATTTAAGTGAAGAGTCAATATATTGTGATGGTCCATGATATTATTGTGAGACCTTTGACGATACAATTAGGGCTGGGTATCAGTAAGAAGTTGCCGATAAGATACGATACATATATTGATACAGTGAGCTTTCTATTCGATACGATATATTTCAAAACGATTCGATACGGTTCAATAAAAAATAAAGCCTAACTCATGGCTGTGATACTAAAAGTTTTTGTTAAACCACTTCTTATGTAAAGTTAATATAAAAACACGCATTTTAATCATCAAAACAGTGAAAATGTCAAATGTGTCTGACCTCGCAGCGTTAGAATTCATTCAGTCGACGGTAGGCGGTATTTTTTATTTATTTAACCAATCGCTGCTATTTGAGGCTAACTGGTATATTAAGCTTTTCCCAAATCCCGTAGGAAGAAGGGCAATATCGTCTTTCCCCTTGATAAAATTCATCAAACCTTCTCTTTGTTCCGGCTTTAAATCCTCGAACTCGGGCATCGTTGCCAACACAGAATGTATGACTCTTCGCTGATTGGCTGGTGCCCGAACTCGCACTTCCGGGTTTTTTGCGAACTGTCTAATGCAGGGGTGGGCAAACTTTCTGACTCGTGGGCCACAAAGAGTTCTAAAATTTCACGTAAGGGCCGGACCAGGGGCAAATGGATGGAGATTTTTAGTAATCCACCTCATAAGAGAAAAAAATAAGTAATAATTATTTAAATATCCCATAATCGAAAATCATTACAAAGCGTTAACAACAAAATATCTGTCTTTCAAATCCCACGGTTTCAACTATTTATTGAAACGACTTTTAAAACACTGAAAATTATTATTACTATTATTCAAGTTCGGCAGGCTGGATTAAAAAGATTAAAGAGCTGCATATGGGCCAAAAATTACACAATTTTCTCAATGGCTTTTACCAGGAACTGGACAAAGAAACTCAAATCTCGATATTAGATGTGTGTATTGACAAATTTCTGTTTCTAATGTGCCAAAAATACCAACAAGCCCCTCCCCTTCTCCTCTTTTTTCATTCTCGTCCAATGGCTGAACACTTTCTTTCACTAATAACGATGCAGCCCCCTCGTCCTCCTCTCCTGGTTTTACCCAATTATTACTACTAATTTGTTCCTCTGCACCTCTGCTTCCCCCTCACTGCTGCACCGCCTCTTTTATACCACCAGATGGCACTCCCGGTAAAGCGGATGGTAAGGCTGGACTGGTCTACTGTACATCTCCCTATGTCTGTCTCATATGTTGTTCTTTCCGAAGTCTTGTTTTTCTTCTCGAGTCCCAGTGGCTTCTGTGGACTTCTGCATGGACTTTCTCTGCATGGGCTGTAACCCTAATGTCCATTCTTCATTCTCTAGGGCTGTGTGTAGATCTGGTGTTTGTTGTTACAGGAAAGTGGAGCGTGCACTACCAGTTAATAGTTTGAACACACTTTTACGCTGATGCTTCTTCCTTATTTCCTTGGTTATTTGCATTTTAGACTCTCTCTGGAGTAGGGATGGGCATTTGATGAAATTTTCTTAATCGATCGTCGGAAGAATTAACGATCGATTATCGATTAATCGTTTTTATATTAAAATGATCATCATTATTATTACTATCTGCACTACTAATCTGCATAAATAAATTCAACTTTACGACATATAAACCGTAACGACTCTAGAGCCACATCAATCCGTTTGACATTATAATGTGTTTAATTCAGTTTTGCGCAACTCTCACAGAAACAAAACTTAAAACCGCATCGCTAATTTGCATAAACTCAGCGAAGATAAAACTACAGCTCTTGTGCGCTGAGGCAATTTCTGTTGGATTAAAAGACATGACTCAGTGGAATACAGGTTAGTGTGACCATATTTGCGTTTGTCAAAACCAGGACACCGTACGGGGGAGGGAGGTGGGGACTCGTCATCGACATTGAGCGACTCTCACCTGGTAAAACTTTTTCCCACTGGACACCGAAACATATGTTCCTGCTTTGTACACTGTGCACATGGACTCACACTTGTCCCGACCGGAACGGAAAGTGTGGAATTTCTTGTACAACTCATCGTTAAATACGCATTTGTGCTTCAGTACGCTGCAGACTGACCGAATGTTTGTGTTTGCTCGCTCCTTCTGAGTGCAGAGACACATGTACGAACCCCTGTTTGGTCACACTACACTATGCACAGCAACCTACATTCGGTTTGTCGATTAAAATTAACGTAATCGATGAAATTCTTAATGATCAATTATCGATTAATCGATTAATCATGCTCATCCCTACTCTGGAGGCATCAGTATGAATGGACCCATGTATAACTTGGCAAACAAAAAATATTTCTTTCACTTTTGGCATTTCTTGACCCATACATTTAAAAAAAAAAACATTTAATGAATGAGGAGGTGTGTCCAAACTTTTGACTGCTAGTACATAAAAAATGGTGCCATACTTGTTTGAGGTTCAAAAGGTCCTGTACCTGATTTTTACTTAATGTGAAAAACAGAAGTAGTTCAGTAGTGGTTCAAAGTTATTTCTCACTTACCTTTTACATTCTGCACATTCTGTACAACGTGATGAGTTTATAAGCACTTTTCACAACTTTCAGAAGCCAGAGCAGAGTTTTGCAATCACACTGAAGATAACAAAAACTAGCATGGTAACAGCACACTTTCTGAATACAGGGCCTTTAAGTAAAGTTGTATAAAAGCCCAGGCCTACAAATATAATAGATTATCCTTCCATATTGGTTTTCCGAGGAAGTTGTGTGACCCCTTTTCCTGGGACAGTGCGACTCTGATGTTGGTGGCAGAAAAAGTTGAGAGTTAGAGTTAGAAGACAGCTACGCCCACTGTGACGTGTAAATATGAAGTGTTTTCATTGTGTTTGGACACTTTAGTGGTTTAAATGACAATTTCAGTCACTTGTATTACTGTGGCACCTTACTCACTGCCTATGGGTTTGGTAATCGTGGCCAATATCGAACAAATACTTGATTTAACAAACTTTAATGTCCCTAAGGTTGTAACAAAAGAGAAATCATAACATAAAATCAAATGCAAATTTCAAAAATTAAAGTGGTAGCATTTTCATAAGATGAGGGATAATAATACGTTTCAAGCTCGGACGTGAGCAGTTGCAGTGAAATGTTGTATTATTATTTTTAAATATAATATATAATACATTTGTTTTAGGCTTCTATATTTAAAGTGCACTGCAACTTTTCTGGTGGATTATGTGCCTCATGTTTGTCTCCATGAAGATGTTATTCCATTTGTCAAGAATGTTCCTCTCTGTGGCATTAAACTCCTCCATCTTGCAGTTGTGAAATTACAGGTGTTATTATTACTAAAGAAACATCTTGAATAACGTGCACCCTCACTGCGAGCTGCTGGTCATCATGGAGATTAATAGGTGTAATGCCATTCTGTCGAATATTCTGGGTAAAGTAATAACATCTCTATGGAGACGAGCCAATGAAATATTACCAAGTGCACTTTTAAAACAAGAAATGAACAAGGAATGTAGAAAGATGTTTGAACCATGAGCCACATGTTTTGTTTTCTTGTTCTAATTTTATGAAGCTACATTATAATTAATTTAACAGATAATTCTCAAAAATTGATTAAAAAAAACATCAGGATATGAGTCTGATCACCTGATACTAATTGATTCAGTAGTTTTGTCCAGTCCATTGAACTGAATGCTTGAAAAATGCAGTGTTTCTAATGCAAGGATAGACTTTTTCTTTATAATACAAGAACTTCTCCAACTGAAAACCCCACACAACCACGAGAAGTTCTATAGGGACTTCTTGAAATAATTGCCCTGATTTGATCTCCTGAGTTTCACCGCTGCTTTTGTCATAAGCGCTGCTGTTTACAGACTTGTTAAAGCGTTCACAGAGTTGTAAAAGTCTGTTTTATGAATGAGCCTGATTGTAAGTGTCAGAGGGCACTTATTTTTAACTCTCTGTACGAATCTTATCTGTGAGAGCAAATATCTTAGTGTGTTGAGTAACCGGTTTATGAGACGTCAGACGTGAACCCAAATGACTCTTTTTATGGTTGATAATATTTGTACAACATTAAAGGTCCATTGTGTAACTTTTCTCATGGACTGTTGTTAGGTCTGCCTAACACAAAGAGGTTATTCATTTTCATACAAGTGATTGGTACATTATAAATCAAAGAATTGTAGTTACATAAATGGTTAACTCATAGGCATAGAATATCACACAAGTATTTAGCAAATATGGGATAATAAAATTATTCTGACAACTGTTTGTCAACTGCTTCTTTCTATGGATGTGTCATTTCTCTGCCTGGAATGATCCACAGTATGGCATTAAACAGCTGCCTCACATTTATTAAATTATAGGTGGTTTTATAGCTCAAAAAATTGCCTCAAAATAAAAAAAAAACTAAACAAAAAAACACCATTCTGAGTGTGAGTGGGGTCGCTGCTCTACAGATCTGACCTGTAAATTGGTCTGGTTTGGTCTCCATGAAGATAGAAATGTTTAATATCACACTGTGAAACATTCCAGACAAATCAATAACATCTCCATGGAGAAAAGCATTTTTATTAAATTACACAATGCACCTTTAAATAGAATGTGTTTTTGACACTCCATGTCATTTCCAGTCTGTACATCACTGGTTCTTTTTCTCTAGTGCCCCTAAATTTAGTTTTGCTCTCTGAATAATATTTTCAAAGTATAGATAGATGGTATAAATCTATTTTCTAGTATCTTGTTAATTATACTCATTATATACTCAGATTTCCCCAACATACAGTTCTTAAAATTAAAACTTACTGCAAAGAACATTTTTATTTTTGCTAACTTCTTTTAACCTGAAGTAATTCCATACGTCTGGTTTGGAAACACTGCTGTACAACACCAATTACCTCTGATTTATTTATTTATTTTTTTAGTTTATTGTTTATTGATAGGATCCCCATTAGTGCATGTCAAACTCAGGCCCGGGGGCCAAATTTTGCCTGTGATATGATTTGGCTCGTGAGAGCATATCAAATATGTATTAGAGCTGGCCCGCTGGCTACAGAGACATTATTTATTCAAAATGTTGTCATTATTTTATGTTATGCTTGTTCTGGATTCAATGTTTAAGCAAAACTATCATTTATTTTAATAAGATTAATAAGCATATCTTGAAAGAGAAAACGTGCAGATGTTGACATTTTTCAATAAATATTTAGTTTGGCCCATGGCTTAGTGCCAGCTTTTAATTTTGGCCCTCTAGCCCTCTGTGGATTTGAGTTTGACACCCCTGTATTTTACCAATTCATTAAAAAAGATTTTGGTTGTTTATGACTGTAATTCTCAAACCTTTCAGGCCAGGACCACCAAGATTACAACACACACTGCACTTGAATTAACACCTATAATAATTTCAAGTGACCTCAATAACAGAAATGAAACATACTGTCCTAATAAATTTTAAATATATAGATTAAATATAGTGCCCTTGAAATCATCTTGAAGCTCAGTGTCTCCATGAGTCTGTTTTGGAAACTCCAGGTATAAAATAGAATGGGAACACATACTACATTATGAATATATATGACATTTATTGTTTGTTTGTCTTTCTTCTAAACTGGGTCGGACATAGTAGTTTGCCATTCATTACAATGTGCATGGTGAGTACTAGCCATATTTAACAATGTAAAATAAATAATATACAAAATATTAAAACATATAACAAAAATATTACAATCTGAATTCACCATACTCTACCATATAAGCACATTTTTGGCAGATACTATTGACCCCAGCTGTCTGTTCCCCCTCTGTTTTTCAGGAGCTCTATCTCCTCATCTGGATCATTCTATCTCCCCAGATATTTCTTCATTCACAGATATGTTAAGGCCCCACTGAAATCATTACTTATTTTTAACATTTTTGTGATTATTATGTCCCTGTAGGTCGGGTTCGCACCAGGAGAACCAGCTCTGGCAGTGTGGGCGCAGCTAGTCCGTCGGTGGTGGACAGCAGGGGGCGCAGTCGAGCGAAAGTGGTCTCCCAATCTCAGCGTATGTACTCAGAATCCACCGACATCACAGTAATAAACAAATGACAATGTTTTTTTTTCTCCATATTTCATACATGTCTAAGTATGATCGAGTAATTTCAGAGGTCATACTAGATTTTCATGTTTGTGTGATTTTTCTTAGCACAAAAAAGAAGTAATTAAAATGAAATTAAACTAAACAAGTTGCTAAGAAACTGTCACAGACTTCATGTAGTTGTTCTTACCTGCATGTGTAGTTCTTGTGGTAGATTCTGTTCAGACTTGGCTTTAAAACTCCGTATTTTAACTGTTGGCAAATTCACTTTAAGCTATAGTACATGTAGTTTATCAACAATTAAGTAGTAGAAGTAGTAGTAACAACACTAGTAGTTGTAGTAGTAAAAAACAGTAGTAACGCAATTGTTGTAGTACCGTATTTTTTGGACTATAAGGCGCATCGGATTATAAGGCGCAATATCAATAATGTTGAATTCTCTCGTCTATTTTCATACATAAGGGGCACTGGATTATAAGGCGCATTAAGCGAAACAAACGGACGACACTTGAGACTGATCCCTTAGCCCAGGCATCCACGATCCATTGGCAGATCGTGGTGTAATTTGCCGGGTGTTGCCTCCCTGTCTTAGTGAATGTGGGTGGATAATTTAAGTTTTTTTTACTTCCTACGAGGAGGACTCAAATATACATTGAGTAATAATGTGTTTAATGCAGCTTTGCGCACATTTGTTTACATTTTACAGAAATGAAACTTAAAACCACATGGTTCATTTGCATAAACTATAAGCGCTGAAAAAAAACAGCTCTCTACTCGTGCACTGATGCGGTCAGCTTCTGTCAGACTTACTCCACGAGGCTCCTGACTACAGTAGCCGTAATTCTCTGATAGTCCATCAAGGGGTGTGGCTTCGTAGTTTACCAAAGTTGTACTAAAACATTTTGACAGATTTTTGAGCGCCGTGTACCACATAAAATCAGTTCAAGGTCAGTAAACACAACCAGAATTAATATACATAAGGTGCACTGGATTATAAAGCGCACTGCTGATTTTTGAGAAAATTAAAGGATTTTAAGTGCGCCTTATAATCCGAAAAATACGGTACTTAAAGCAGTAGAGGCAGTAGAGGAGTAGTAGTATGAACAGTGGAAGCAGTAGTTGTAGTAGTACAGCCAGGGCAGTAGAGAGAGGGAGGCGGTTGTTGCAGTTGAAGCTGAAGTAACAACTGTAGAAGTAGTAGTTTCAGTAATAGCAACAGTAGGGGTAGTATTTGCAGTAGTTGGTGTAGTAGTAACTATTGTAGTAGCAGTAGTCGAAGTAGCAGCAGCAGTAGCAGTAGGGGTACACAAACAATTAGAAGAATGAGTGGTAATAGCAGTACAGCCAGTAGGAACAATTGTAGTAGGAGTAGCAGTAATATGGCAGTATCAGTTGCAATAGCAGCAGTAGTAGTGCTGGTAGTAACAATAGTAGTAGTAATAGTAATAGTAGCAGTAGTAGTAGTAGTAGACTCACTGTTTTATCCTCAGCTGTCCATCATTGACTTTTGTAATGCCATGTTTGAACTGAATCTTAGTTAGTGACACTGACCACCTGTGACTCGTCTCAACTCTTGTACTAATGATACAAACAATATTTATACTACAGCGAAAGGCGTTCACAGGCGCTCAGTGCATGCTACTACATTTACATAACCCTGTGTCTCATATTTTCCACCTGTCCTGCCTACTGCCTCTACCATTCAGGATCCAGATCAGCCAATCCCATCAGTGGTAAGGCCCCATCGCCCTCATCACCTTCATCACCCTCTAGCCCACAAGGAGAGCTTTGCACGGCCACGTTTTGGTGTTTTTTTTAATGTTATTTACAACATTTTAGCGGCACTTTCCCACACTGTACTCCCCATGTCATTTACTCTTATTTGTTGGATATCCATTTTGTGTTTGGTTAAAGGTGCATTGTGACTTTTCTGGTGGTGTATAAGCAATCTACTACTGTCCAAGGAGATTAGTATTGCTTTGCTGAGAATGTTCCACAGTATGGTATTGAGGCAGCACAGTGGTTAAGTGGTTAAGACTCATGCCTCACAGCAAGAAGGTTCCAGATTTGTCTCCCGGGATGCCCAGAAGTAACAGGTTTTTCTGTTTCTTCTGGGCACTCTGGATTCCCCCATCAACTCAAAACATGCACAAAATGTCAAATCCTCCAACTAAAGTAGTTCCTGACCAAAACTAGCTCAAGAGGTAATATCTGTTTTAATTATAAAAGGTTAACTTGTATATATACTAGTAAATATTAGTATTTTCAGTATTTAAAATATTTCCCTCAGCCTGCTCAGGGTATTACTAGTGTAAATGTATCATTGTGCATTGTCCCTGTACAAGTAAAAAGCTTAACAGACCAAGATCTACAAATGGGTCCCCAGTTGCTGTACTGAGTCACTCACTCATCATGACAGGTTTCCTCAGTGACTAAGGCTGAGTATCATTAAGAACTTTCCGATACAGTACATACCTCGATACACAGGCCTGGATATGATACATATTTTAACAAAATAATTTTGTAAAATATACCAAAAAATACTCTTGGCAATGTATCGATACAGCAGCCCATGATATCGATACTGTATCATCACATTAAACAATACGATATATTGATATTTCGATATTTTTTGCACACTCCTACCAGTGACATGGACGGATTTGTCAAATGCAGAGGACAAATTTCTCTATAGAGACTATAAGGTATACCTTAAGCCAGGGGTCTCCAACCTGAGCTACCTTTACAAAAAAAAAATGCTGGAGAACTCCTAAGTTTAGCAGTCACAAGAAATTGAGAAAGTATAAGAGTCATGGCGAGCCTTAGATGGGGAAGCTTATAAAACATAAACCATTATCCAGTCATTAGTGCAGAACTACAATGGTAAATAAGCAGATTGTAGTTATTCAGCACAATATGAAATCCCTTGGCGAGCTACTTGCAGCTCCCGAGGTACAGGTTGGAGACCCCTGCCTTAAGCTTTACCTTACACCCATATGGCCATTGAGACAACCATGTGAGTAGATCTGAGGAGACCTCATTCACAGCGGGATTTTCAAGGTATTTTTGAGTAATATCCCAACTGTAATGAAATATGCTATATACATTTAATCCCATAACACAGTGGAACATTCCAGGCAAAGCAAATTTATCTCCATGGAGACAAGTAGGTGGCGTACTTTGAAAAGTTGTACAGTGCAGCTTTAAATGTGGTGTTTTGTTGAAGGGTTTGTCTCAGATATTCATTGGCTGTCCAGGCACCATCTTGTCTGCTGTTGTCTTATGTTTCATCATTCATCATTTGTCAATGTGGTTTGTGTTTGTTTCAATGGGATTTCATGCTGATTCACTGTAAAAGCAAAATGTGGGACCGTGATGGGAGCACCTCACAGCTTTGGGCAGCACACAGTTTTATTTATACTTATATTAATCTAGGCCCTGGTTACACAAACATTTGAATAATATTTTCAGCAAGTGTTCACAATATCAAAAGTCTCACACCATTACTTTGTGATCTAACTATACTTCAGGATTTACTTGACTGATTGAAGGTCATTTATTGATAAGCATTTGTACGATACAGATATGTGAAACTTACGTGAGCTGATGTGAGGAAGAAAAGTGCAGTCATGGCCTTAATTTTTCCATATAACCTTTCTGAATTTTTAACTTCTCCTTATGTCTCAATCTGTCTTTCTATCTTTCTTTTCTTTCTATCTTGCTCCATTTCTCTCTCTCTCCTCGTAGCCGGTAGCCGTTCCAGTTCTCCAGGCAAACTGTTGAGCAGTTACGGGCGTATCCCTCGCGCCACGGGCTCCGCCTCCTCCACGCCGGCCGACAAGCGCAGCCGGATCCCGCGCAGTCAGGGGTGCAGCCGTGAGACCAGCCCCAGCAGGATGGGACTGGGTAAGGCCACGCACAGCTCTGTCATGATCTTCTGCGAAACCAACTGACTTTCCCAATGAGGAGGTCCTTTTGGCTGCTCCAGCAACCATCATAGTACTGTCACAGAATATTATGCTCATTCTGTGGTGTAGTGTGGATAAGTATCATAAATTACACCTTTTGGATTGGATTAGATTAGGTGGATACTTTATTATCCTTAAGGAAATTGGTGCATACAGTATTTTTCGGACTATAAGTCACTCCAGAGTATTAGGCGCACCAACCAAAAAGTAATGAAGCAGAAAAAAAGTCACACTTTTTAGAGGAAACTTATGTTGTAAAATCAGGGACCAGGAACAGACATTTCATCTTGAAAGGAAAATTATAGTAATAACAACAGAACAGAGAACAACAGTGTTAATGTCGCATATGAACAGTTTTTCAGATAACTATAACATAAACAACAGAACAGAACAAGTTTACCAAACTCCATCTGACTCCAAATCACTAAATCCATTGAATTCTTCATCTTCAGTGTCACTTCTGAGCAGCTCCACAACCTCTCGAGGTAAACGGAGCGTCGCTTCCTCTTCTTCAGCATCAGTTCCAGTTAGAATTATTCCGGCCTTTCTGAATCCCGACAGGATGGTTTCTGTTGTCACTGAGGTCACTTAAACTTAAAATTTTCAACAGTACAGAAGTAATGGTGCGATCGACTGGCATGATACCATGGATACAGACAGGATAGCAGCTCTTTCTGCAGGAGACATGTGCAGTAGAGTGAAGTGACAGTGGTACAGGAGTAATAGGAGCAGCAGATACTGACACACAAGCCTAGAGCCTCTCACGGCTGTGTGTAGAAATTTTGATATATAAGTTGTAACGAAGTATAAGGCGCAGAAAACATCCAGACCATGAAAAAGTGTGACTTATAGTCTGAAAAATACGGTACATACAATACATAATATAATGCCTAACATCAATTTCTATGAGTTTATTTCTATCAATTCATAGTGATATTTTTTTTTTTTTACATTTATCAAATCATTGTTATCCAAATCAGTTATCCATGTCTTACATTAAAGGTGCACTATGTACTTTTGTTAATGAATGATCTGCCACCAAAGCTCATCAATCTTGAATTTAAGGCTAAAAATACCTTGAGGAATTTGCTTTCTCACTGTGAGCAGGCTGGCCAGTCCACAGTTCTTACCTGTAACCTGGTCTGATAGTGTCCCCTGCTTGTCTCCATGATGATAAGTTTATAGATAAGAAGGTATAGCAGAAACCTCACTGCAAAAGTTACACAGTGCACCTTTAAAGGCATAACATTAACAGAAATAATTTTAGAAGCAAATACACCTGACATTTTGAATTATGATGATGTACCTATATTTTAACAACAAACTTTACACAATCAGCACAATGAGATGTATTTTTAAGCGGCAGTGTTCTTACAGTTCTTCACTCCCTCGGTACAGATATGTGGCTTTTCTCCTATTTCTTTACTATCTCCACTTCAAGATGGAGAGATAACGAAGCTGTAACTCTAATTTACAGCTGAATGTTCATATGACATAACAAGGTATTCTGGAGACAACAACTTTTGGTCTTGGGTTGACAAACGTTACGAAAAACATGACATAGAATAATACAATAGTCCTTTATGCTACTTTTCTGCATGCATTTTTCTGAATGTTTTGCAGTGTCTAACAAATATCAGACGGCTTTTTTAACATGTATTGTGATCGCACTCATCCCGCCAGCTGCTACCAACGCTTATGTCATGTCTAATCTTGTCATATACCTCAAATTATTCTTACTTTCTCTCATCGTCAATACTGTACACATTTAATTTGAATAGACTCACAGACTATAGTGTACAGAAATGTAACAGATAATAAAAAACATTACAATAATTAATATAAAATAGTTCTAAACAGCCGCAAACATGTGACGAGATTGACATAGTTTACATCTGAGATCCTAGTATAATAATTTATTTACAAATCCAAATATATAGTTAATGTTATGAACCAAATATTTACTACAAACTGGATTTGGAAATTTTAAAATAGTTTGATATTTTCTTACCTTTCTCCAGTAATAATTTTAGTTCTATTTAATGCACAGTGTTGGGGAGTAACAGATTACATGTACCAGAGTTACGTAATCAGAGTACAAAATATGAGTAACTGTATTCAGTTACAGTTACTGTTTCAGTGAGTGGTAATTGGATTACAGTTACTTTGTTGAAGTAAATGGATTACACAGCGGTATTTTCCTGTTTTCACATTTCGGGTTATATCCCTTTTTTTTTTTTTCTTCTGGTAATTGCACTCATTGCTGGACACTAAACCAGGTCTAAAAACAGGTCCAAACCAGGTCTGAACCAGGTCTAAAACCAGGTCCACACCAGGTCTAAAACCAGGTCTAAACTAGGTCTAAACCGAGACTAAACCAAGACTAAACCAGGACTAAAACCAGGTCTAAATGAGGTCTACACCAAGACTAAACCAGGACTAAAACCAGGTCTAAATGAGGTCTACACCAAGACTAAACCAGGTTTAAACCAGGACTAAATCAGGTCCAAACCAGGTACAAACCAGGTCTAAACCAGGACTAAACCGGGACTAAAACCAGGTCTGAACCAGGTCTAAAACCAGGTCTAAAACCAGGTCTAAAACCAGGTCTAAAACCAGGTCTAAACCAGGACTAAAACCAGGTCTAAACCAGGTCTAAACCAGGTCTAAACCAGGACTAAAACCAGGTCTAAACCAGGTCTAAAACAGAATTTAACAGGACTAAATCATGCTGCATGGACCGTGTCTCCTCCTCTTCTATCAATAATATATTTTTTAATACGGTTAAGGAAAGTCTGGGCTTTTTATTTTCTTTTAGCAGACAAAACTTCTTATGTTACGATTTCCTCATCTTTGCTTCTCTACGGCAAATCAAGTAATCCAAAGTATTCAGATTACTTTACTCACTTTAAGTAATTTAATGGATTCCGTTACAAACTACATTTTGGGGTGTGTAATCTGTAATCTGCAGAGGAATACATTTTAAAAGTAACCTTCCCAACACTGTTAATGCACCATCATAATTTAGCTGAACTGAAAATAGCTGATTAAACCGTTTGCATTCAAGCCACATTCAGGTAGTTTTAAGTATCCATCTCTAGTCTTCCTCTGTCTCTCTGTCCTCTCCCTCCTGCTCCATTGACGCCTCATCACCGCTCTCTGACATGGCTGCCTCACTTGTTGCCCTACAGCCAGCCTGTGTGGTAAAAGTCTTGTCCCTTCCTACCGCACGCTAGCCCGGAGCCGTATCCCCCGGCCCAGCATGAGCCAGGGCTGTAGCCGTGACACCAGCAGGGAGAGCAGCCGTGACACCAGCCCTGCGCGGGGCTTCACTCCTCTGGGTGAGTACGGCTCAAGCTCACCACAGCGTCAACAACAGTGCTAACAATGCTGCCTAACTGTCTAATGCTGAAAATATCTTAATGTCTTTCTCTTCAGGATTTTTACGCATGTACTAACTGTATTTAAAATCCATAATATAATGTTACTCAGTTTATCAGAGCTTAACTGGTGTTTGAGGGCCACTGAAAATGGTTCGCGGTTTATCAGGGAGAATCAAGACAAATAAATAAATACATTAAATTTTAGGAGGTAGAGCACACGTGGCCCGCCAAGGGGTTAAATGGTATAATTATTATGTTGTGACTTTGTGCCGCTACTACATCTCCCACAATGCACCACAGATTTTTCCCGTGAAGTGACTGCATCTTGCCACTAGAGAGGCCAAGAAACCTCATCAGATTTCTCCAAAAATGTCAGAGAAAAGAAAAAATTGATGCAGAAGGACGGTTATTTTATGAATGTTACTGAAGGAGTAATGTGAATGTTTTAACTTAAACCTTTAAATCAAATCCAATCCACTTTATCTCTATAGCACATTTCATAAACAAAACAGTTTCCCAAGTGCTGCACAATACAGATAAAACATATCCAATAGAAATATAAAGTAAAGCTCTACTTAACTCTTCTAGTCCTCATTAAGACAATAAAACTAGTCAAATCGAATAAGAGCAAGAATACCAGTAAAAATAAAAAGGTAAAAAACATAAAAATAAACAAAATGAGTAAATATGAAATGAAAAATCAAATACAGACTTTTACAGATTTGTAACATACGGATATTACAGTTACAGTTGCAATCTTAACTTTACAACCGGCCCTTTGGTGACAAACATGATTAAAATGTGGCCCTTGGTGAAAATGAGTTTGACACCCCTGAGAAAGTGGCTCCTCTTACAGTAATTAAATGTCCAAGGTATTAAAGTGGTTGTTAGTTAGTTAGTTATTTTATTTCAGTTGGTTATTGTCTTATAGGACAGCAGAGGGTATTAAAAGTGGTTGTCTTATAGGAAGCCTTTTCAATGGTGGATAAAGTGTCTTCAGACAGGACACTTTATCCACCATTGCCTAAATGAATTTTGAATGTTTGTGAGTGACTCTGACTCAGCTCCAGGAGAGACACGAGTGATTGTGTGAATGAAAAACGCAATGTAAAGCAGCTAAAGAGTGACCAAAAATCCAGAATGTAGAAAAAGGTATAAATTCCCCTGTTGGTTGTTGGTGTTCTGTGATTTTTACAAAACACTTTGGTGACTCCAAATTCTAACCGCGCCTGTTGTGGATGTACCCCTCTCCTCCTCCTGCAGCCTCTCGACGTCATTCCCGTTCCACCAGCGCCCTGTCCTCAGCTGACCCCCACGGCCCGTCAGGTGACCTGCATGCCCCGCCCCCTTCCACAACCCCCCCCAATTACCCCCAAGTACCCCACAGTGTCCAGTGCCCGTTCTGTTCAACCTCATAGAGAAATCTATTGGCATGTTTATGTTGTTCAGTGATAGAAGCATCCTCCATTGTTTCAAGTATTTATTCTGCTCATGCAGTCTTGATTTGAGTTATATTGTGAAATTTTATTTTGTGGGTAGTGGTAGTAATATTTCAGTTTTTATTCTGTATTAGTTTATATTTTGTGTCTTTGGTTCGTCCAGCTGTGGATTATGGTGCAGTTTGATTTTGTATTGTGCTCTACGTCCTTTGAATCATTTCATGTGATACAAGAACATTTGGGGAAAAAATACGACCGTATTTTCCGCACCATAGGGCTCGCTCATAAGCCTCCAACGCCATCAAAAAACGACTGTGCGCCCCACAATCCAGAGCGCCCTATACATGAGTCCACTCAGGTGTCCCATCATGACTTCAGTAAACTACAAAGCCGCACCACCCGCAGCGCACGCAAACACACACGGAGCAGACAGCGACCGCCCAGCAAAACACACCCGCACTCATCACTCCACGCAGACGAGGAACGGAGCAACGAACCGAAAAAGCGAGTGCAATGTGCCACTTCTAGACACAACTGAACAACTGAGTCACTGCGAACACGCCGACAATCCAGCGGTCCCAGACAGCACCCTCCCTACACGCCACAACTGAACAAAGCCCAGAGTCACCGTGAACGCGCCAAACAAAGTCCCACTGACCCATCGAACTAATGTGTTTCTTTTAAAGTCTAGTGCGGTTTATTTTTTTTTAAAAAGTTTGAAAATAGACCATTCAATGACAGTGCGCCTTATAATCCAGAGCGCCCTATAGTGCGGAAAATACGGTACACTGTAAAAATTTAACAGTGTAAAACTATTCAAAACTTGATTTTAAATTATTTATTTACAAATAATGATTTTGTTTTTACCTGTTGGAAGGTCTTTTCTTGATTGAAGATTCCAAATTTTCTTTCAGTGGACTGAGAAATTTGCATTTACACCACTGTCAGAAAAAAATCAGCCCACGTTTACATATTATATAATCAAACCCATTCAAATCAAGAAGCTCTTATGATTCAAGATTCTTCATTATTATATTTTCTTTTGTTTAAGATATCCCGTTCAAACATTCTCACTGTTCTTTTAATATCTGAACCAGGTAAGTTGGGTGAACCCTGTTAGTGTAAATAAAGTCTTCGCTCACATTTCTCTGTTCCGTTTCTTTTAGACCGATACGGCTTCATAAACCAGGCTCGTATCTCTGCCTCCGTGAACGCCATGAGGGTCCTGAACACGGGCACTGAGGTGGAGGCTGCGGTCGCTGATGCTCTGGTGAGTACAAGGAAATAAAACCCTGTGATCCTGTGTTTGCTTCTATTAATAATGTAAATGTTCCTCTGAGATCTTAGTAATTGGGGTTTAAATAGATTCCAGTCGCTCCATGTGAATTAAACTTAAAGGTGCATTGTGTAACTTTTTGAAACTTAAAAAAATGCAATTCAACACAATGTTTTAACATGAACTTGTATGCGAATAGGAAAATCCTGCACTCGGTGTCCACTTTTCTCATTTTGGACATTTTGTTGATGAGGGTGTCAACAGTCAAAAAGATCGTCCTTTAAGAGCGTTTGGAAAGAGACAAGTCTTCATTTGTGCTGCTCTGGTGGGAGGGGCCACGCACAGAGGCGCTAGAGACGCTGCTGTGTTAAGCGGTGCAGAAAATTACCAATATTTTACTAAAAAATATAATTAAAATATTTTAGTAGAAACTCAGCCGAGGGCCAGATTAAAGGTCTTGGAGGGCCGGATCCGAACCCTGGGCCGTATGTTTGACACCCATGTTCTAGACAGAGCGATAACATTTCCACAGAGACAAGCAGGTGACGGACTCTCCACTAGAAATGTTACACAGTGCACCTTTAATTTAGTAATAGACACCTTTTATATAACTTTACATTTGTCTTATTATAGTCAGTACTGTCTTAAAAGTTATATTTTTTCTTGCCTATTCATGTAAACATAGTGGATATAAGCTGTGTGACTAAGTATTGCGCTGAAATTACAACAGTATTTTTGTGAGTCCATCCTCAAACTGTTCTTTCTCCCTGTTAAACCCTCCTCTCTCCTCTGTCCCTCTTGTCTTTGCCCTTTCAGCTGTTAGGAGACTCCAGGAATAAGGTAGTTTTCCTATTTTAAGTGTGCATACTATACTATATCCTCCATACCATCACATATTTAACAGTATCTTGAGTGGTTTGATCTTTGTTTTTGTTGAATGTTTTCATTTGCTTCTCTCACATGCTTCTAAAATCCTGTTCCATAGTGATAGTGTGCTCTCCATTGGTGTTTTGTGCATTGAAAATGGACTGATTGATGATTAATAGTGCACTGCTTATGAGCGCTGTAGTTGACGAGTTTGCTTGACTGGCTTTAGAGGCTCGTAGAAGTTCTTCCATGCTTGTTTTGGATTTTAGCGTGCTCAAAATAGTCGGAAAATTGCTTTCTTTTACATATTTTTACTGGTAAATTATAAGAAATCATTTTTTTTAGAATATGCTTGTCTCAAAATATGCCAGTATAGATAGTTAAAGAATGTTTTTGTTAAATGTAGGTCTATGTTCAGCTGGCTTTTCTTGCCCATTCCTTCTAACTGTTATTACTATGTGGCTGAGAAGTGGATTTAACCAACTGTAGTGAAGAATGAACTCTTAAAGATCCCGTATTATACAAAAAATACTCTTTGAGCTTTAAAGGGACAGTCTGGAATTTTGGACATAGGACCTCATTTCCTAGTGAGCCAGAGTGTTGGAGACGTGTGGAGACAGTTTTTTTTTAAATATAACTAAAAACGGTTTTACCTACTCCACAAAACACCCGAAACAAATCTATTATCACATCAGACTGTCGATATAAATGTCTGTGTTGATAGAATAATGTTTGAAATAAAACTAACCTTGCATCGCATGAATCATCGCATTTTGAGGGACTATTTTCTCATATATCAGTCCGCCACTGCCAAGCTTTCTATCAGGAAGTACAACTCGCCGCTGCTGCTCAGACATAAATCCTTCAAATGCAAGGTTGGTTTTACTTCTAAAATTATTCTATCGACACAGACATTTATATCGACAGTCTGGCGTAATAATTGTTTTGCTTCGGGTGTTTTGTGGAGTGGGTAAGACTGTTTTTAGTGGCAGGATAACTATGGCCATTGACATGTACTAGCCTAGCACCAGCGACCTCTGCAAATACAAGGACTGGATGGAATATTGCAAAAAGTGTCTCCACACGTCTCCAACACTCTGGATCATCAGAAAATGAGGTCCAAAATTCCAGACTGTCCCTTTAAGCCATGTTAGAATGTTGTTACCTCCTCAAAAACATTCACATATGTTTGAGTAACTCTTTATTTTTAGTCTATCTACATCTCCAAAGCTCAAAATCCACATTGTGATGTCATGAAGTGGTAGTTTTCTTCAGTAGAGATAAATCTGCAGGGTTTGTGCAATAAACATGTGTGAATGAAACAAAACACAACTCCAAGTGTTTTTGTGATGAGGAAACAACATTATAACATTGATTGGGGAAAAAAATGCAAATATAGATCCTTTAGTTTTTAATTAGTTGGTTGTTATGGTGAGTTTCCTAAATTGCTCGTAGTAAATCTTGCTGTTTTGCCTAATACTCCCCTCCCACCCCTCCTTAAGTAACACTGAATTAGGCCCTGCCATGAATGAATAATACAACACCAAGCAGAAGTGGAAATGCATGGCTTTTGATTATTTTTAGTGCTTTTGACACAGGTTTATACAAGACTATGGTGGCACAGGCAATCCATATCTGAATAATTTTATTGAATACGATTGTTGGAATATTGTTGGAATCATTTATCTTTTTTCAAATGAAAAAGGTACTAATTAGATAAAGTTCTACATATAATACAACAAGCAGTACCATATCTGTGTATTGCTCTGTTTATTTTGGACTACAGGGGCAAATATTTCACTTAAAGGGTTGGAAAATATAAGTTTGATAGATAGATAGAGAGATAGAAGAGATAGAGATATATAGAGAGATAGAGATATATAGACAGAGATAGATGGATAGATAGATAGATAGATAAATAGTGAGAGAGATAGAGAGATGGAGCGATAGATAGATGGAGAGATAGAGAGAGATAGAGAGATAGATGGATAGATAGAGAGATAGAGACAGATAGAGACAGATAGATGATAGATGGACAGAGAGAGAGCGATAGAGAGAGAGGGAGATGGATGGATAGATAGATGGGGATAGAAAGAGAGAGAGAGATAGATACTTTATTGATCCCAAAGGGAATTCATTTTTGGGAGCAACAATGAAACATAATAATACTAATAATAATACAGCAGTAATTCATGTATTTAACTTTTACATATTCCTTTTGAGCACCTCAGCGATGCACTGAAATCACAGGGCATTTAGTGTAATGGATGGAAATGATGCTCCAATAAATAAATAAATAAATACATACATACATACTAGAGGGGGCCACCATAGTCTCAAACACAACATTTTCATCCTCCCTCTTTATTCATATGATCTGTTTTTCCTTTCCACAGAGAAAGCCGATGAGGAGGAGATACGAGTCCCCCGGGATGTACTCTGACGACGATGCCAACAGCGATGCGTCCAGCGCCTGCTCGGAGCGCTCCTACAGCTCCAGGAACGGAGGGATCCCACATTACCTCAGACAGACCGAGGACGTGGCCGAAGTGCTCAACCACTGCGCCAGCTCCAACTGGTCTGAGAGGAAGGAGGGTCTGCTGGGGCTGCAGAACCTGCTCAAGAGCCAGAGGATTCTCAGGTGGGGGCCTGGCAGTATTTTTCTTGTAATTAGGCAAGGCAAGTTTATTTATATAGCACAATTTTTACACAAAGTAATTCAGTAAGGACATGTCCAAATGATGCGACCCTCAGACCGGTTTTTCTTGGCACTTTTGCTTCCAGGTGGATTGGTCCATATTGCCTTAAGCTGCCCTTTTTACCACAACTTTTGCAAATCTACCGTGATAAAGCCAATATCAAATCTTTAGTGGGTCATATTGAGGTCATCTAAGAATAAATAAAGGTCCGGTGCCTCATTGTATCCTGCTTTAAATGCACATATTTTAATTATTCACAGAAATGACTTGTACGTGAGGATGTGCAACTTAATAAAAACATTTTTTTGATTAACAAATCTTTTCAAATTTGTATTTACCGTAGTTTCCGGGCTATTAGGCGCTCTGGATTATAAGGCGCACTGTCATTAAATGGTCTATTTTGGAAATTTTTTCACAAATAAACCACACTGGATTTTAAACGAAACACAACAGTTGAATGGGTCAGTGGGACTTTCACGGTGACTCTGGGCTTTGTTCAGTTGTGGCGTGTAGGGAGGGTGCTGTCTGGATTGTCAGCGTGTTCGCAGTGACTCAGTTGTTCAGTTGTGGCTCAGAGTGGCACATTGCGCTCGCTTTTTCGGTTCGTTCCTTCATTCCGTTCCTCGTCGGCGTGGAGTGATGAGTGTGGCTGTGGGTGTTTTTCGCTGCGTGGTCGCTGTCTGCTCCGTGTGTGTTTGCGTGCGCTGCGGGTGGTGTGGCTTTGCAATTTACTGAAGTCGTGCTGGGACACCCGAGTGGATTCGTGTATAGGGTGCTCTGGATTGCGAGGCGCGCGCTCGTTTTTTGATGGGGTTAGAGGCTTAAGAGCGTGGAAAATAGCCCGGAAAATACGGTACACTTTAGGAAAAACTTTAGGAAATAGAAATCAATTGAGAGTAGACTGGACAACAGTGTGTGCATGTAGACATTTAAAACAGTAGCACACAAATAAACATGAGAAACATTATACCAACTTATTATTAACTTTTCAACTATTATCAGTGAGTTAAATGAAGACAACTGGACTTACATTTATCTTTTCTCAAGCTAATGTGTCCCTAACTTGCTGATAAAATCTTATTCCTGGATGTCTCCAAATTTGCGTCAGTTAAACTTGTCATCATTTCTATAATTTGACTGATAAATCTTAACCAGACTTGCTTTTTTTCCTTTCCTGCAGCCGAGTGGAACTAAAGAGGCTCTGTGAGATCTTCACCCGTATGTTTGCAGACCCCCACAGCAAGGTACAGTCCTCCACCACTTCACCGACTAATACTTTACAGCTGATCTCATCAATATTCCCTGGGGCTTGTATTGATTACAGGCTCCTGAAAATGTGCTGTTTGAATCCATTTGTATGTGTTTGTAACTGCAAAATATCAATACTACCAGCATGAGTTATACGTACAAACTTGGAGTGCATTTTACAGTATGAACTAACCATGTGTTTTACCGCATGCTCTGCCTTGGTGTGGATCTAACTACAGAGAGTAAGTGAGATTTCAACATGTTTTTATGAATACCAGGTCTAAAATGAACATTATGGTGATTTATATGTATGTTTTTTGTTTTAGGTCTTCAGTATGTTCTTGGAGACGCTGGTGGACTTCATCACGGTGCACAGGGAGGACCTTCAGGACTGGCTCTTCGTGCTTCTCACTCAGCTGCTCAAGAAGATGGGGGCTGACCTGCTTGGATCTGTTCAGGCCAAAGTGCAGAAGGCGCTAGATGTTACCAGGTTTGTTTCATCATTGCAAATTACTTTTTTATATTCAAAGAGGCTCTACATGATTTGTAATGTAATATTGTAAGTAAAGATATATCATAGAAGCAGAAGCAGAAGCAGGTACAAATTAGACTGCTGTGCATTGTCTGCATCAAATTGAAAGAGTTTTATTCTCCATGTGACAGGAAGTGCGTCATTTGCATGCTGTTACCTTTACGTGTGACGGATGGAACATTTGGCTCTGGCCTCTGAAATGTGTGAAAAGCGCTTCACTTTTCTGTAACCCTCGACCATGCAAACTTATTTATTCAAATTAATTTAGGGGTGTAACAGTGCATAAAAATCACGGTTCAGTACGTACCTCGGTTTTGAGGTCACGGTTCAGTTCATTTTCGGTACAGTATGGGAACAAAATGCAAAACCATTTACTTGTTGTTTGTGTTTTTATTAAACCAACAATTTATTTTAACATCTCCGTGCTGGTGAAAGGCGAAAGTGAGGACCAGGGCACGACCTTAGTTTTGCGAGGATTCACATGGTTTGGAGGGATGTAGTTAAGTAGGGGTGTGCAAATATATTGAAATATCGATATATTGTATTGCTTAATGTGATGATACAGTATCGATATTGTGGGTTGCTGTATCGATATATCACGAAGAGTATTTTTTGGTATATTTTACTCAATTATTTTGTTACAGAGCTACAGTTTTTGTACTTGTATAGAGGAAGGAAACTTTTTTATGCAACACATTTGACATTTTCACTGTTTTGATGATTAAAATGTTTGTGTTTCATATGAACTTTGCACAAAAAGTGGTGTAACAAAGACTTTTAGTATCACAGACATGATTTAGCCTTTATTTTTATTGAACTGTATCGAATCGATTTGAAATATATCGTATTGAATCGAAAGCTCACTGTATCGAGATATGTATCGTATCGTGGCCTATATATTGAGATTGTATCGTATCGGCAACTTCTTAATGATACCCAGCCCTATAGTTAAAGCTGGGGGACAGTTGTTGTCAAGGTGGCCGTCCTAATTATAAAGCGTGACGGGAAACACTGCTGCCCCAATCACGGACGAGTTCTCTTGTGAATATTAAAGAGCCAAGCCTTCCGTGTAGCTGCACATGTCATGGTGGAATGTAAACACACACAAATTACGCAAACTCACTCGTGCACAGCCCTGCACCGAACTAAACTGATACTGAAACGGTTCGGCACGAAAACATGTACCGTTGCACCCCTACAAATGACAAATGTAAAGATTTGAGTAAAGAGATAAAGAACAGATCATTTTATTCTCATACTAATTTTTTGCTATTTTAAAGATGCACTACGTAACTTTTCTGATGAAGGGTACACCCCTTGTTTGACTCCACCTAGACATGTTATTACTTTGCCTAGAATGCTCCACTGTATGGCATTAATGTTATCTATCTCCATGGAGACAAGCAGATGACAATATCAGGTAGTCAAGCATCAAGTTACAGGTAGGTCAGATCTGTGGAGAGGCAAGCCAGAGTGCACCTTTAATTTCACTGTATGACCTTATAACGATGGCATACGTCATCACGGAAGCCAAAAGCGTTTATCTAATCTTTAAGAGCAATATTTGACTGATGGCTGGACAAATATACACTTTGACTGGTAGACACTTTAAATTATGTATGTTATAGAGTAGAGACCAAAGCAGTCAGGACATTCTAAAAGAGAACAAAGCATCAACTTTCACCGCAAAAATATTACAACACCAAAGTCCAGCCAGTACCAAACTACATGTGTCCTTTAAGCTTTTCAGCACAGATCTCATGACGTCATTAAACTATTCAATAAGAAATATTTTAACCTCTTTTGTTTTGTCTTTTCCAGAGAATCTTTTCCATTCGATCAGCAGTTCAATATTCTGATGCGGTTCATAGTGGATCAGACCCAGACACCGAACCTAAAGGTAACTTCAAAACAATTACACAACTTAAAGCAACGTAAAATATACAGTATGAATAATATGTTATTAATATGTTTTATGTTATAATATGTTATCAATGTTTTAAATTAATTAATAACAGTAATATATATACAGTAGTAGTACTTTTATGCACTCATTACAACTAGAGGCGTGCAAAAATATTGAAATTGAAATATCGTGATACTAAATTTGGTGATACAATATTGTGACCATGGGCTGTTGTATAGATATATCAGCAAGAGCTTTTTTTTTTTTGGTATATTTTAGCTTTTTTTTTGTGCCCTCGCTATAATTTTGTTGCTTATTTAGTGTAAGGAAACTTTATTGATCCACAAGGGAAATTATTTGGACACAGTGGCTCACACAGGACAATACATTATAATAAAAAAAGAGAAAAATATATAAATGGTTATAATACATTTCTAAATAAGTAGCAAAAATAGCAAGAGGCTCGTGTCTTCTCTGTTTTAATAATCATAATCATAATAGTACATGGGTTTTAGCGCTTTAACACAAAGACGCTTCATAGTAAAGTAACACTAAAACAAGGACAAGGTTTAGTGTTTAGTTTTGAGGTGTTTAGTGAGTTTCTGATGTGAAAAAGGAGAGAGTTGGGGGAAGGTCTGGAGTTTTTGATGATGAAAATGGATGGATTTCCTATTAACTTTGTACAAATAGTGGTAAAACGCATTTGGTTCCTTAAAAAACGTAATATATCACAGAGTATCATGTGTAATATATATAATTATCTCATATATCGTGATAATATCGCGTCGTGAGCCATGTGTCGAGTATCGTATCCATCATGAGGAACCCTATGATTCCCACCCCTAAATTAAGACTGATTTATTGTCATTGAATGAAGGAAACAAACTATGACATTACAATTGGCAGTGAGCATTACAATTACAACATGTTTTCCCGGTTGCCTAGGTGAAGGTAGCCATCTTGAAGTACATCGAGTCCCTGGCGCGGCAGATGGACCCCACGGACTTCGGTAACTCCAGTGAAACTCGCCTGGCCGTGTCCCGCATCATCACCTGGACCACAGAACCCAAAAGCTCCGACGTCAGAAAGGTATGAGCGCTACTATAAAACTATACTAGTACTATCATATAAAACTGATTTAAGGGTAACTTTTTGGCCAGGAGTCTGTCGTCTGCTTGTTTCTATGTCATTGCTCTGCCTGGAATGTTCCACAGTGTGACATTAAATAGCTCTACTTTACATTTATTCAATTACAGGTGATTTTAGAGCTCAAAAACACCTAGAAAAACAGGTATTCTGACTGTGAGCGGGGTCTCGCCTCTCCATAGATCTGACCTGTAACTTTGTCTTATTTGGTCTCCATGAAGATAGAATAGTTTAATACTTATTGTGAAACATTCCAAAGCAATAACGGCGGCATGGGGACAAGCATTTGACGGACTTTCCACCAGAAAAGTTACACAGTGAACCTTTAAGAGTTTAGTTTTTGTGGAAATGTAGAGTGTGGAGAGAGAAAAGGAGAGGTGGGGTGTGGGTTTTGTTTTTTTGTTTTTGTTTTGTTTTTGGGGTTTTTTGTCTATTTTTGTTTGTGTTGTATATATTCTTAAAAAAATGAATAAATAAAACATGCTACTATACATTGTATTCTAAAACATACTATGGCAGCTTTACCCAAAACTTGGATTTACATTACTTACATTTAAAAAAATCATGCAATTATTTTACTCTGCAAATAAGGTATAAGGAACTCTCTTTTGCTGGAACCTGTTAGTTATTTTTTCTTGACAAAAGGGGCTAACACAAGACTTAAATCAAAATTAATTTTAAATTTTTTACATTACATATTTCCCTTTTTTTCTATTTGGATGTGAAATTGAAATAATTAAATTGTATATTGCTATAAAATTTATGATAACGTTCTTTCAGAGCCTCTCGCTGACATCAAATCTTTTTTACAGTTTAGTCTGTTTCATCATTCCCATAGACTTCATATTTGGCTTTGAAATAAAAGGAAAAATAGTACAATATAATAATAATAATATGGATAATTCGGAATCTAATACAACACTTAAGTCCATGTGAAAATCTGCTTTACTAAAAAGCATTGAACTCATGTATTGTTGGATATAGTTCATCTTTAGTGGAATACATGGCCTACTTAATCAAAAATAACCACTTTACTAAACTCATCCCAAAATAAGACTTACATTTTATTATTAAATTAATTTAAAGGTCCTATATTATGCTAAGTTGACTCTTGTGAGCTTTAAGCCATGTTATAATGTGGTTTCCTCATCAAAAACAGACCTGGAGTTGTGTTTTGTTTCATTAAAATGTTTGAGTAACCTTTTATTATTACTGTATTTTTTGCACTATAAGGCACATTGGATTATAAGGCGCAATATCAATAATGTTGAATTCTCACATCTATTTTCATACATAAACTTGAGAGTGATCCCTTAATCCAGGTGTCCACAATCCATTGGCAGATCGTGGCGTAATTCGCCCGGCGTTGCCTCCCTGTCTTGGTGAATGTGTATTATAAATGTGAAGTGGGTGGGTAATAATTATTATTTTTTTATTTCCTACGAAGACGACTCAAATATACATTCAGTAATAATGTGCTTAATGCAGCTTTGTGCTTATTTGTTTATATTTTACAGAAACAAAACTGAAACTTAAAACCACATGGCTAATTTGCATAAACTATAAGCACTGAATAAACAGATCGCTCCTTGTGCGCTGATACGGCCGTAATAAATCCGTAATGCTTCGACAAACCATCCAGTGGTGCGGCTTCATAGCTTACCAAAGTCGTACTAAAACATTTTGACAGATTTATGAGTGCCATGTACCACATAAAACCGGTTGGAGGTCAGTGAGTACAACCAGAATTACACAACACATAAACCGCACCGGATTATAAGGCGCACTGTCAATTTTTAAGAAAATTAAAGGATTTTAAATGCGCCTTATAGTCCGAAAAATACAGTGATTTGTCTACATATCCAAAACTGAAAATGCTTTGTTCCACCTTGTGGTTCCATGAAACGGTAGTTTTCAAGTTTAGAAATTGGCAGTTCCAGAGCTGAAATTATCCAAATGATTCTAGTGAAGGTGTATGGAGTTTAAAAACACAGTGGAGCACTTCCTGTATTACCACATGACATCACAAGGTGGAAGAGAGATTGAGAGAAGAACTCAGCCTAAATTTACAGGGTTAATGTGTTAAATGTGTGAATGAAACAAAACACATCTCCAGATACCGTATGTTTGTGATGAGGAAACAACATTATAACTTCTGAAAATAGTGTAATATGGGATCTTTAAAACTGCAGCTAGTCCGTCTAATTCATCTGAAAAGTGACTGTTTGCTTAGCCACAGTTGTAAACTCGATAATAGGTGCTGGTTGTGCGGATGGCCTTGGTTCAACGGCCCCATTATCTTTGTATGAAACTCGTCACATGTTCTGCCTCTGTGTCCCCTCTGTTTGTTTTTCCACCAGCGCTCGTCCAAATGAACTCCCAGCCTAGATTCGTGGAGATTAAAGGACCCATTTTTTGCTATTTTCTGTCTGTGTTATAACGTTGTTTCCTCATCGCAAACAGACCTGGAGTTTGGGTTTTGGTTCATTCACACGTTTACCACACCAACTCTGCATATTTAGGCTGAAAGACTCTGTTCCACTTGTATTTTTAAACTCCACACACCTTCACTAAAATCATTTGGATAATTTCTAGCCCTTGAATTGCCAATCTCTACTGAACTAAAAGTAAAAAGTATCTTGAAAACTACCACTACATGACATCACAAGGTGGCACTGAGCACTTCTGGCTTCGGAGATTTAGACAGACTAGAGTGTGAATGCAACAAAACACAAATCCAGGTCTGTTTTTGATGAAGTAACGACATTATATCATGACCTAAAGTTCACAAGAGTACATGTCCAATAATACAGGACTTTTTATTCAAATAATTTGTCATTTTTGAGGGAATGGATACCCAACACATTAATAACAAAATAGACATATCAAAATATAAGACTAACACACATACAAAGAGAAAAAAAACACACACATAACAACAACAAAAGAATAATAAGTAAATAAAAAGAAGAGACGAAGAAAGAAGAAAATAAAAAGTAAAAGTAATAAAGAAAGTTGCCAAAAACAAACAAACAAAAGATATAAGGGAACAGAAACTATGTAAATGCACATTTGGTTTGACAGCCCCAAAATGTAAATACACAAATGCAAACACTGGATTGAGAAACTCTGTACTACAGACAACCCAGCCCCCAACTCCCACTACCTTTTTTTTTTCTTCTTCGTTCTTTGTCTCTTCTTTTAATAATACAGGACTTTTAATGCTCATTCAATCAATCAAACTTTATTTATGGAGCACTTTTCATACAAAAATACAACACAAAGCGCTCATTTTAGCAGGCTATAGTGTTTTTAGAAAATGGCTGTGTAACATTTTTGAGCATTTTGACCCAGAGTCATGTACAGGGCTGTGGGTGGGGATGGGGGTAAATATGGAGCACTTAAGCCTCAAATGTAAAAAAAAAAACTAATAATGATGTGATTTGCATAGAACTAGCAAAACTTATGATATGAAGTCATGTATTTGATCCAAAGTGCATTGACAAGACTACAGAAGGTAGGCTTAAAATCCTAAAAGGAAAAAAACAGAGGGGTTAAAAGCTTGCTAAATATGTCTCCTTTAACTTTGCTATTGTTGAAGAAAAATTACAAAACCTATTTATTTCTCTAGACCATTGATTCCCAAAGACTGGATCGTGACCCTCAAGAGATTTTTTTTAGGGTCGCCTGATCTGCGTGTGCTACAGAAACACAGACAGGCCCACCAATCTCATGAGAAATGTTGAAATGTTAAGACATGTTTTGGATCATTTTTAGTAATTATTTTATTGACAATTTTCTTCCAATATTGCTGGTTCAATTGAATGTTGAAAAGAAAAAGAAATGGGCTACAGTTAATGTCCAAATAGGCGACTTATGGATCCTTTTATTGCTGCTTTTTTATTATTATTACTGTTTTTCATTGTTTAAAACTTGAGTAATACTAATTGTTCAGAGACACGATCACTCAGTCGACAATAAAATATCCTCATTAATGTTCAATAATGGTCAAATCCACCTTTATTTTGAATAATATCTATTGATTTGGGTCGCGAAGGTTTGTGACTTTTAAAATATGGGTCTCCAGTAAAAAAAGTTTGGGAAACACTGGACTAGACTGTTAAAAGGTTTGTGAAAATGGCTGCAAGATGACGTAGTGATTAAGGAATAACACATATACTTTGCCAGTTTAAGTTTCGTAAGATCCATCCTCAGCTCCAAAAGTTCTCTTAAAGGATTCAAATACGTTTTTTAGACAGAGGTCAGTGGAGCTTTATTCAAAACTAACATTTGTCTACAGATGACGGTGAGCAATGATTCAGAGTCGGTTTCAAACTCTTCAAGTCCAGAGGTGCTGCTTTCAGCTGTTTCTCAGGTTTGGATTGTAGTAGATGAAGTACAGTGAAGTAGCGGTGGTGTTCGTATTGTAGTTGTGAAGTACAAAGTTTTTGGGGTAGTTTTGTGTCCTTGGGCAAGACACTTCTCCCATCTTGTGCATGTGTAAATACTATTCCGGGACTAAAAATGCAATTTTTTTCATAGATACTAGAACTTATTACTTTAGTTTTTCGTTGTACTGTTTAAAAACTGCTGGCCACATTCATATGATTCACTTAGAAAAGATTTTACAGCGATTCTTCTGATTTAACATAGTTGTTAAAATGGTATAAATTCATTTAAATATTATCATTTATTGTGGTATGTTCAGAATCAATATTTCAAGCGTCAATATTTGTTAGTGTGACAGGTGTATCTGTGAAACGTTGAAGTTAACATTTTATTACAGCACTATAATGTACCATGCACATGACTAATTATTCAGAATAAACAAAGTCCATTTTAGTGCTGTTGCCGGGCAATGTACCACAGTTAAATTTGCCAAAGTTTGGATTAGAAAGGTACCAAAGAGGTGCCATAAATGTTTATTGTCATTTTTACTGTCTGTAAAGCCTCCAAAGTCATTATTAAGCTGCTCTGTGTATGGTAGCAGCTGTCATGTGTCCCGCTTTAGACAAATACAGGTTCAGATCGTATCGGGTTTATCCTGAAAAAAGTGCAGTATCAGAGCTTTTGCAGATACCAGCAACAGTACTAGAACCGTTTCAACAAACTAGAGTGGTTCTGGTATATGCACTTTAAAAACAAAGACGAGTACTTCTGAAATGCCACTGGATGACATCAAACAGTGAGACCAATGGTTTTGAGCACTGGGGCGAAAATAGCTCAGTTGGTTATGTGTTTGTCCACTGATCCAAAGGTTTATGGTTTGATTCCGATCTCGACATAAACATCATTGGTAGTTTGGTCAGATTGTGCGATTCCGGCTTCCACAGATGAATGTTGTTGTTATGTCCTGGTGTATGAATGTTTTTGTGAATGGGTGAGAGGTTCCTTAATGTTAAACACTTTGAAGGTGAAAAAACGCTGTATAAAAATGTCACCATTTGCCAGAGAGGTAAAATATGGACAGCTAAACATGCAGGACTTTTCAAACAGGTGCACAACTGAATCTAAATGCATAGGGATGTAACAATAACCAAAATATCGTGATATCGTATCGTCAAAGGTCTCACAATAATATCATGGACCATCACAATATATCGAATTACAAGTCTCTTTGTTTAAATTAAGAGTTATGGTGCAGCAGCAGCTAAAAAAGCAAAGGGAACTACATTGACCATGATCCTTTGCTCCATCTCAGTGCAGACTTCATGAAGAAATAAATAAATATGTTATAAGTAGGGGTGTGCATATATATCGTACTGTTTAATTTGATAATACAGTATCGATATTGTGGGCTGCTGTATCGACACCAAGAGTTTTTTTTTGTTGTTGTATATTTTACTAAATTTATTTATTTTTTGTTACAGTGTTACAGATTTGTTGCTTGTTTAGAGGGAGGAAACTTGTTTATGTGACACATTTGACATATTCCCTGTTTAAATGATGTTTCATATTAACTTTGCACAAGAAGTGGTTTAACAAAGACTTTTAGTATCACAGCCATGATTTAGCCTTTATTTTTATTGAACCACATCGAGTCAATTTGAAATATTAAACACAACGGAATCCAGGCACTCCAAAGAAGTAAAAATCACAACTAAGTCAACTACAACTAAGCCCTTATGAAGACCAGTTTGGCTGAAACATGTTGGCTTTGGCCATCTAGATAAAGGCCTTTTAACTATATTTTACCTTGTGCGATTTTTACTTCTGTGGAGTACCTGGGTTCCGTTGTGTTTAAAGTTTTGATCCTTTTTCCAAGAGCACCCTCGACCTGCTCCCACTGATTGGAACACCTGCAGCAAACAGCTACATTTTGTTTTTCATGTCTCGATTTGAAATATATCAAATCGAAATATGGATCATATCGTGGCCGATGTATGGAGGCATGTATCGTATCTGCAACTTCTTAATGATACCCAGCCGTAGTTATAACAGGGTAGCTGTGGGGTCTTAAAAGTCTTAAAAAGGTCTTAAATTTCATATTCCTAAATTAAGGCCTTAAAAAGTTTTAAATTGGGTTGTCCAAGTCTTATTTTTTTTTACAAAGGTCTTAAATTTCATTAGCTTATTTTTTGTATACTCAACCGGGCTGCAGTGCAATGTAATATGTAATGGTCATTATTAGAATTGGATCTGGTGTTTTTCACTCGCATAATGGGTGCGATGTTGATCTTTATTTTCATTCAAGTGGTCTTAAAAAGGTCTTAAAAAAGTCTTAAATTTGGGGTAGTCAAACCGGGCAATACTCTGTATAAGCACTTTTAAATCTTAGTTCTTTGGGTTAAGTCATGTCAAGGAAGAGGAAAAAGTAGCGTATTCACAGTTTTGTTAGCCTCCATGAAATATCGCAGTAAATATCGTATGGTGAAAATATCTTACTGAGAGATTTGGATATCGTTACATCCCTATAAATACACTAATCTCAACTGGTATATTTATTTCACTTCTATTACAACTAAATCTATTGTATGATTTTGCTCAAAACTCTGGTTGGAGCTGGTTTTTCCTTTTTTAATTTGCGATGATCCTGTAACCGCCGCTCTTGCCTTACCTTACCCCAGACCCTTCAGAGCTGGGTGTGCGAGGAGCTTGCTGGCAGGTCCAGCGCCGCAGCCTTACTGTCCGCAGAGTGCAACCTGGAGGAGAGGTGTAAACAGGTAGAGCCGATCGACCAATCGCAGCGCAAGAAGCACGTTTAAACCCCCGCCTGCTCCGGTCTCTAACCCCCACCGTCACCGCGGCGAACAAGAGTGGCATCTCTCTAACTCACCCTGCTAATGACGCTATACCTAACTTTAGATTTTTAACAGTTTTTAAACTAAGAAAGGCTTGTGTGAATTGACTTTTGCTTTGGACTTATCAAGACTACAGCGTGTTTTTCTCCCTCTAACAACTTTCGTTAACTTCAACAAATGCATGGTGTTCTGATTTTGTACAAAATTATACAGAAAATATGACTACCTGTTATCTAAGTCTATCTGAACTGGTCAAACAGACTTGACTATTGAATTAAAACAAATGTGAATGTCCTTTATTAAAGTCTTTTTACTCGTAATACTCACTTGCATGTGTTTCTACAAAACGGCACATATGAAGAGTTTGAATTGCACTTTCAAAACACTTCGTAACCCTAACAGAATCTTTCTTACAGGTTAAAATGTGTGTTTTTGTTTCCAGTGAAACTACATAAAAACAAGGTCAAAGTCTAAGCTAGACTTTGGTTGAACTTAAACTTGTGTTTTAAGTTTCAGACAAACATTTCAGACTTTTGAAAGTTCACCTTCAAAAGCAATCGAGAGCTGGGGGATTATTGTTTTATTGTACATGTACAGTTTTAAATGACAAAGAATTTAACTTTGCTGTACG